CCTATCAGGCACAGAGCAGGGTGATCAGAGGGATGGGGCGCCTTCCCCTGTCACGAACAGAGCAGGCGGATAGGGAGGTTGTGGCCCCGGCCCCTGTCACACACAGAGCTGCAGGGTGATCAGGGGGTTTGGGCGCTGCCCCCTGTCACGCTGATCCCGGTGCCGGGAGGCATATTACCCTTTTACTATATAGGATAGAGGCCTGGTGCACGGGTGGGGGCCGGCTGGTTTGCCCTGAAGGGTGTCCTGGATCAGGGTGGGGGTCCCCACTGGGGTGCCTGGCCAGCCTGGGTGAGGGGCTGAGGGCCATTTTCAGGCTGGCGGGTGACTGAAGCTCCCAACCGCTCCTTTTTTTCTTTTCTTTTTTTTTTATTCTGGGCCAGCTTTAGCTCTGAGGCTCGGCTGCTGAAAGCAGGTTTCTGACCTTTGTTTACCTTCTGTATTTGAAACAATGTTGCCATCCAGCTGGCTGAAGCCCGGCTGACTGAAAGGAGGTTTCTGGGGTTTTGTTTAGCTTCTATATGTGTTACAGTGTTTCTTAGAGAGCAGCTGAGAGGCCCGCAAGCAGGCGGGGAACCTGGCTTCCTCTGTCACTGGAGCAAGCAAGCCTCCCTGTTCACGTCAGCTGCCTGGCTGCCGGCCGCCATCTTGGTTGGCAGTTAATTTGCATATCTCAGTGATTAGCCAATGGGAAGGGTAGCGGCTGTACGGCTAATTACCATGTTTCTCTTTTATTAGATAGGATATATATATATATATATATATATATATATATATATATATATAGTGACCATGACGACCGAAACAACTGGTCAGCCGAACAGCAGGCTGCGTGGGGCGACCAGGCCAGCAGGGCGGCTGTGAGGGGCTACCAGACCAGCAGAATGGACAGTTGGGGGCAACGAGGCCAGCAGGGGGGCAGTAAGGGGCAACCAGACCCATGGGGGGGCAGTTAGGGGCAACCAGGCTGGCAGAGGGGGGCAGTGAGGGATGACCAGGCTGGCAGGGGGGGCAGTTAGGGGCAACCAGGCCAGCAGGGGGAACAGTGATGACCAGGCCAGCAGGCAGGTGAGCAGTTAGGAGCCAGCGGTCCAGGATTGTGAGAGGGATGTGAGAGGGGTCCCAGATTGGAGAGGGTGCAGGCTGGACTGAGGGACCCCCCCCCCCGCCATCATAGTTTAATATAATAGAGCCAACGCAGCTTTCTTATGCTTATGGTTTGTATGGTGTATCTTTTCCTATCATTTTACTTACAACCTATTTTTGTTTTTGTGTCTAAAGTGCATTTCTTGTAGAGAGCCTTTAGTTGCGTTTTTTTTTTTATTTAGTCTGTCAATTTCTTCTTTTTAATTAGAGTGCTTACTTCATTTACAATCACCAGAAGTGTAGATTTATTGTTACCATGTTCTCTTTTTTTCATTTTTACCTCTCCTGATTTCTGTTCTTCCATTTCCCCTTTACTATCTTCTTTCAGTTAATTAAATATTTTTAGTATTACACTTTATTTCCTCTATTACTTATTTGCCTGTATCTCTTTGTAAGTTTTGAGGTTGCCTTAATGATTAAAAAATGCATCCTTAAATTATCAAAATACTACTTAAAGTTAATATTGTCCTACTTCACTAAAAATATAGCAACTATATGTGGAGTAGAGTGAAAAATGGAACAAAAAACATGGGACAATTGAAGGGCTCCCTCATTTGTTTCTCTTTTCTTTGGGATTACTTTCCTATGTTGCCTGTTGTCCAACACATGAAAACCATTGTTTCATTTATTTTCTCTAAATTGTCAGTTGTTGCCAAAACCGGTTTGGCTCAGTGGATAGAGCGTCGGCCTACGGACTGAAAGGTCCCAGGTTCGATTCCCGGTCAAGGGCATGTACCTTGG